CAGGCTGTCTACCTTGTTATATAATAACCAAGACGCGCAGATGTCACTGGATGACGATGCCCTTACCTGAGATAATAGCCGGGGTCTGAGAGAAATCTGGTATTTGGGCCGAAGACCGACTTCGAGATACGCTGCGTGGAGTGCGACTGGTCTTCTCGCTTTGAGATAAGCTTTCGGGAAAACCGTCGCCGTGTTTCCGTGTGCATGATTGACATCATATGAATGAATGAGGTCTGTTATTCATTGCACATAGTGCATGACCAGCCCAAGGTCTGTGCTCTACCCTCACTCTGGATGTATAGTAAACTCTGGCAGTAGCGACGTGAGTCAACGCGCTCCACATGTGCGCTACACTCAGCGGCGACCGGTAGGCAACACAGGCATCTGGCCATCAAGAGGCGAGAGACAGTCGCAGTCCAGCAGGTATCTTCGACGTCGGGTTTTCGGCCGGAAACAATAGTAATTTCTTCAACACCGGTTCCTATGCTCAGCGTAGGGCATCGTAAGGACATGCGGTGTGGTTTATATTAGCAAGGTAGGACAGCTGATGCACATAATACTTGTAAAGAATCCGTCAAATTAAAATGGGGAAAGTTTATTAATTCGATAATACTGCAAACAATGCAGCAACGATGTTTAAGCATTTAAAATCACCGTTGTACACGTCTCGCTCTTTATCGCTCTTGAATATATCTATAGTATATAGTATATATATAATATGATATTGTACTCCTGAATGCATTTGTTTATTTAAGCATATCCTCATGTTAATTATTCTCATAAGTTAGTTCTATTCCATGTCTTTCACACAAATCAAATGTGAGTTTGTCAGCATTTCTATGTTGCACAGACACATGTACAGAAGCGTGCACACAGACATGCAATCGCACAAACACACACAAGGCATTCGTGAGTTAACTGATGTGCAGTACTCTACGTAATGCTAGTAGCAAAATAAAGTTTAATTCTTGCAAATAATTAGCGTATGTCATTGTAGTAAATTGACAGAGATCTGGTGTTTCATACATGTTAAAGAGGAAGAATACTCTACAATGTGAGTGTATTATGACACTATATATAACTGTATATATTATATATTTCAATACTGCATGTAGTATAATTTAGATCCAGTATAACTGTAAATATGCGCTAATCACTATAGTAATGGTCCCCTTTTAAACAAAACAGGATTGACTCAGTCTGACTGTGATATTATTTTGTCTATGCGTATGAATTCTGAATTCATCTATTTTAGGGCCATTTTAGAAGACTGTAGGTTCAGCCCTGATCGGCTATCAAGTGTCACGAAATCATTCTTGGTATGCCTAGCCTATAGATATTTTGGAAATATACATTCATACTTCTCATGCTTTACCTATGTCCAGAAGTTTCCATTCTCAACTTCGCGTGATCCGTTATAACAATGATAAGGCCATGAGAATTGAGGTATGAGTTTCCCGTCCGAGATATTTTGAAAAGTGAGGAGGCTTTTTTTCATTTTTCATTTTTCATTATTCATTTAATATTTGTAGTTAACCCATTGTTCATGCGACATCCGCATACATGTGTGTAATAATTCATATTTTATTATCCGTGGTCGAATATTTTCTTCAAACTCATCAGATTCTATATTCATTGAGAAATACTTACGGCATTCAGCATTGCAAATTTATTGACAATTCGGAGCATTTATAATTTATGAACATCCGGAAAAGACACGGCAGAGAGAACAATTTCCATTGGTCAATCTTGGCGCAATGATGAGTTCCTGACCAATCAGAGCATCTGTTACTGTATGTGGCTCAATTATAGTGTATCACCAGATGTCTCGCTGAACAGCTTGGCTGGTAGACTGGTACCCGGTCGTCCCACCTCTCGGCTTACTCCCTCCCATCAAGTAATCGAGGTGGGAGCGAGTACCAGTCTACTTGGCTGGTTACCATTTCCAACTGTAGCCTGGCACGTTTTTGGGGATCGGGCTGTAAGTCGATGTACTCAGGATACGTAACGTCAGCATGCTGTTGTATTGGTTGGTATTAATGTATGTTTTAATCGCTCTGAATGGACAACTTGGGTTTTAATGATTTAAAAATGAAAATAATGAAATACTTTTGAAATAATGAATATTTTCGGCGGTGGCTCTGACGGCATGCGGGCGGTGGACGGGAAACTCATACCTCAATTCTCATGGCCTAAGAGGTTTTGTAAGAATCTATATTTATGTACGAGAACAAAAATTAATTTGAAGTACCCACCTGCTTCCTAGAAATTGACAGCTGTTTATGATCTACGATTGAGTACTGGCAGGCAAGTCATGATATAGATCTAGGTAGAGTTTATTTGGGGCACTTTTAATTCACTAAAATGATGTGGTTTGGGCAAAAATAATTTAACGGATCCATTGTAATAATTATAGGCTGTTGCCCAAATAATGCGGTTGGTCCTGGCTTGTTCGGGAATAGTGATTGTGAAACACAGTTCTGTGAGCATTTCTTTGTGAATTATAGGAACACAAAGCACAGATCAGAACCCATTTGGGAGGCATAGGTCTCTACCCCCCTCACATAGTTGACGTGGACTGGAGACTCGACTACTGCATTAAGGTGCTTAATCTATTCTAGTTATTGGTACTTCTTTGTACTAATTAAAATTGTATTGCTAGTTACACTGCAAAATATCCTGTTATCTACATGCACAATCTACTCCGTTACAACATACTCATGTCGTATATTGTCGTTATAGGCCTGGCCTACATCATACAAGCAGAACTTGATAAAGTGTGGCATGAATACAGCATACGCTGGATTTTGCAACTTATACAATTTTTCTTACCCGATAGATGGCAGCACGATGTTATAATGACTAATAAAATAGTATCGCTCTTCTATAATAGTTAGGATTGTGTTTAAATTTCTATTTTTTTCAAATCCGAAACAGTCTATTTAGACGCAAACGTCATCTGATTTGTGGATCAATCGTTCTGCGTGTCACTTTGTACAGGATAGCAATCGTGACAAGGTGAATGAGCCTGTGTACCTGATAGATCTAAAGACCCAGAGGTCAGGCGAGACTGAGTTGCATGATATACAGTTCTCGTGTACCATGGAACAACTGCAGGTAAGGCTGAGGTAGCCCAGGTATACTCTAGGACTCTCGTACATACATCATCGTCATCATCATCATCATCATCATCATCATCATCATCGTCATCACTGTTGTCATCATTGGCATAGTCATTATCATTGTCGTCGTCGTCGTCGTCGTCGTCGTCGTCGTCGTCGTCGTCGTCGTCGGCGATGTCGCCATCGCCGTCGTCGCCGCCGCCATCCTCGTCATCATCATCGACACTGTCTTAACTATAACCATAACCCTATCCTTATTCGTAATCCTATTATCCCAGACTGCGGATTCTAATGTAGCACTGACCCGGCTGTTGCTACTGTGACAAGCCACACGTGTACCCTACAATCACGCTGTCACTCGCTACTCCGTTCCTTCCAAGCAGACAGAACTGTCAACGTGACCCCTGCGCAATTCCATCCTATTCTATTCCATTATTTCTATTCTTTATTGCGCGTGTGGGCAGCTCTAAGATGCTCACAGAATGCTGTGTTTCCCTTTCCATTGTTCAAGTGAGTAACGTGAAAGGCGCAAACCCAAATACCTTGGCGGATACTTAAATAAACACAGTCTTCCTACTGACAGATTCAAGGTGAATGTTATATAATTAGACACTTTTTCACAGTATTTGTGATTGCTTAGCCATTTGTGTGTTTCCAGGATCTAGTTGGGAAACTGAAGGATGCCACCAAGTCTTTAGAGAAGATAGCCCAGCTGTAAGGCTGAATGCATGGGAATTTTGATACATTTCCTCTAGCAGGCTTCAATTCACCTACAAAGAACAGTTATTATAGTGTAATAGAATAAAGTAGTAGTAGTAGATCTAAAGATAAATGGATATGTTATCTGCTGTACATTGCTGCAGAACATGATTTTAAAACACTAAACGCATTATTGTGTAAAATGTTTTTTGTTGTTGTTGTCATGTATAGCAAACTGGACCCCTGATGCTATCAAATCAGGAGTCCAACAAGAAAATAATGAGTATTTGACTCTGGGCTCGCATTAATTTCGATCCCTGCTGTGATGTAGTGGTGTATGTTGAGGCTTTAAATAGAAAAATGTATGAAGTATGCAATGGAGTGATAAGAGTTCTTTAGCGTGACTGGATCTTCTTTGTACAATATTCCTAATTTTAGACAAAGTCCCCAACCTCTACAAACATCAGAGTTTGATGGACTATAAAAACCGTTGTGTTCAGCGGGAGTTAAGGTTTAAAGGTCGGAAGTTAAGAGATCTAGCCTGTAAGCAGTTTGCAATCATGTTTTTTTACCATTCCCTCTGAGCAGCCCGCGTCTTATTCGATTGTTAATGATGACAGTTCAAACTTGCTTTCGTGAGCCTGGGTGATGAGTGCATAATGAGCAAGCGCATGCGTTTTCACTTCTAATTGAGTAACATGACTCGAACTCACTCAGCTGTTGACAGGGGGATCAGTTCATTCTGCAGCCTCTTACCCCTTGCTCGTGCATCAGTTCATATAAGGATCACGTGAGTGAAACCTGTTTATTAATAATGTATAAAAAAAGACGTCTGAAAATTTTGTCTGTGCCACTGTTCTAATGAACTAGTAAACAGCTTCGTGTTTTGATTTCATATTTATCACTGTTGTGATTTTTTTTAGCGTAGATGTGATGGATTTTCTGTTTCGATCTGGTTACACTCTAAGCCAACCACTCTTTAGCATAATCTCCTGATAATATCAGGAGTACCATAATGAACAAACTTGTAATAATTATGGTAATCCTCTTACTACTATAGAGTTATCATTCCCATTGAGTTATTACTACTTTGTACAGCTTATTTGTAATGGGTATAAAGTCCAGTACATATTGGTAGTGTTTAATTTTTCTCTCGACAAACATCAAACGCAGAACAAGCTAGGTTTCTATAAATTTTGTTTTACAATAATGAGTTTTGTCACAGTATACAGTAATACACATGTCACCAATCAACATATAACAAATCAAACTCAATTTATACAGGTTAATACTACATCTTTGCCAGTAATACACAATAGTAACTGGCCCTAACACTTGCACTGTAAATCTCTGCTGAGAACACCCCCCGCATTTCGACCAGGTCTTACGCTAACTAGCCGCCCTGTACATGGTGGTGTATCATCGGCATAGATTTACAGGCATATGTGCGATAGAAGACATCGTCACGCGATCCCACTATAAAAGTGACAGGAATGTATGTACGCAGCTAGAAAATGAGAAATTCTCGTGTGGGAGAGCGTGTTGTAATTCGCGCCATCGATCGCCGGGTATTTTACTGACTGTAGAGTACGTTCGGAGGCCGATCGCCTTACGCAGGGAGCGGGGGGAAGGGGAGTGGGTCACCAGCCCTCGGACACGTGTGCACGCGCCATCAGACGGCGTACCTGATGGCTGATACCCACACCTAAACGCCGTCGTTGACCGGATCTACCTTTGGCCGACATCACCAGCGGCAACAACAACATCAACATCGTCATCAACAACAACAACATCAACAACAACGCATACGGAAATGTAAACATGAAACGTACACAGAAAACGGCTTAAACTCTGTAAACAAAAAAATGTTTGACTCGTATGTGGAACACCAGAGTTGAAAACGCACAGCACGTTCCGTATAAGATATCAGCCAAACTGCTGCAAGGAGTAACAGGTCGAGTACATAATCTGGGAAACATCAGGTACATACAGCATAAGCATTTCTTTGCTCGCCTGTAAGAAAACCTTATGCTCCGGGGGCGATGAATACCACACGAACATTTTGAGTCGGTACGATGAAACGCTATTGGATTAGGTATGATGACAAGCTATACAACGAAACCACGCGTTACAACGTTGACTCTCGTTAACTCGCAAACACCATAGGCGACCACATCCAGTTGGGTTTAAATTCGACCACATTCGATGTCGCACAGGAAGAACGAGGAATTTTTAGCTAGTCAGCTACTAGATAGCGCCGGGGATTGAGACAGCTTGCAGCAGTGAGACCCATGTTTAATCCGATCAGCGTGAACGGCTGAACTTAAAAGAGAAAACAAAATTCAACAACAACAACAACGATAGCAATTACAACCGCGTGCATTATATAGAAGTCAACACAGCATGATCCTGTATTTCTATACTAAAATAATAATAATATAATAATAATTATAATAATAGTCGAACAGAACTGAAGTAAAATTACTCGGGTATTCTGCCAGCATTTAGCTTCCGCTTTCATCGTAATTGCGTTAAAAACTAAATGTACACTTTCTAAGTATTTACACATAACCTTATCATCGGTGTAATCGCATGTCTATCGCCATCATGCAGCAGTAGTATCTCTCGTCGTGCCGAGAGCTTGGTCGTTACCTATATATACTAACACAACCCACTGCGTGTTATATCATACAGAGAGTACGTGTGTTGGCATCCCTAGCACTCACTACACAGTCTCGATTGTCCCGCAATACGTAAAGCGAAACAATGAAGGCTATACAGTACTAGAGCTGGCGTGTATAGATATCATATACGGGACGTACAACGGCAGGGCGACAAACTTGATTATAATATACAAGGTCCAAATTGGCCGCCATATTTTACACGTATATGCACCTAACTATCACATCACATCGACCATAATGCTGCTCAGCGAACAGACGACGCAGTATATCCGCATAAGGGTAATCAACTAGGGTAATTATATACAGAACGTCAACCAACGTCAGCTAACGCGAACTCTGCGTTTGTTTTCAAAGGCAGTCTATTAGTGTTGGCAACGACGTCATAATACAGCACTTGTTTTGGGTCCTGCATCTATAACCGCGCCCAGGATATAGCGGCGTATCCTAACGCATATATACATGAATATATATACATGTATATATGATTATATATATATATATATATAGATATATGCATGTAATGAGGATTGGAGTTCATAACCGTAGCAGATGATCACGCCGCGACGCTTTTAAACGTGCTTGCGGCTTTTGCTTTAACAGCTTAGCATTTAATGACCTGTTTCTACCGGCACGAGGAGCCCGCCATTATATAAAGATCTTCCTAGTCTTTTATCAACAGTGCCGTCGACGAGCGGTCCAGCCTTCTACGATCGCGTGTGGAAACCGTAGTATTACACTCACATAGATGGTAATGTACACAGTGTGTGCACGCGCGTACGTGCGTGTGTATCTGCGTGTGTAATATTAAAGAAAATTTCTTACACTCTTCGTACAATGTTATGCATTCAATATTAGGTTCTGGAATGTTTTCTACGATGGTAACTTACACACGGAGAGAGTGTGGAGAGTGCGAACACACTCAACACAGCGAGAGAGAGAAAAGGAAGAGCCTGAGCGGGAGGGGAAGGGCGAGAGCGAGATCTGGATCGAGAAAAGGAGAGAGATAGAGCCAGCGAGAGAGCGAGAGAGAAAGAGAGAGAGAGAGAGAGAGAGAGAGAGAGAGAGAAAGAGAGAAAGAGAAGAGAATGATATAGATATAAAAGAGATGAGGGGGAGAGGGAGAAAGAGAGAGCGCGCGCGCGAGAGAGAGAAGAGTGATATAGATATAAAAAAGAGAGGAGATGGCGAGATCTAGAATGAGAGAGGGGTCCCGACAGAGACAGTGAGAGAAGGGGAGAAAAAGCACGCACGCGACAGCGAGCACACGAGAGGAGGAGACTGCGATGTGAAACTGGCTTCTCGTTTATGTAAAAATACACAACTTCCGAATATGGAACTTTATTTACTGTACATGAATTATCAACGCAAGCTAATTAAAATCAAACAAAGATGAATTGTGTTTGCGTAATGGAAAAGCTTTTTGCTACGCAGCTGTTGGCGGTATACAGATCTTTGCCGGAGGTTGATGATAAGGACAGATGCTACCGGCAAGGTTCTTCATGCAATATTTAGCAGTCATCACAGTTACGCTGTATGATGCACGTGTGAATATGCGTTTTGATAGTGGTTATTAGGAGGTGAAAGTACGTGAGCGCGAATGCGTGAGAGTACGCGTACGAGAGAGAGATATTGAAGAACAGAAGGAAAGAAAGATAGAGAGATCGAGCTAAATAGAGAGAGGGAGAGAGAGACAGCGCGGAGAGAGAGAGAGTGAGAAAGAGAGAGATAGAGCAATTGACAGACACACACACACACACGCACGCACGCACGCACGCACGCACGCACGCACGCACGCACTCACGCACGCGCGCGCGCGCGCGCTCACGCACAACCGCTCGCGCGCGGACACACAAGCGCACGAACAGTCACGCACGCGCACGCACACGCGCACGCACAGAGAGGGAGAGAGAGACGGCGAGAGAAAGAGAAAGAGAAAGAGAGAGCGAGAGAGAGCGAGAGAGAGAGAGAGAGAGAGAGAGAGAGAAGAGAGAGAGAGAGAGAGAGAGAGAGAGAGAGAGAGAGAGAGAGAGAGAGAGAGAGAGAGAGAGAGAGAGAGAGAGAGAGAGAGAGAGAGAGAGAGAGAGAGAGAGAGAGAGAGAGAGAGAGAGAGAGAGAGAG